GCTGCAGGGAACATCGATCTAGGGAGGCGTGTGACAGTCATTTCAAGCGTGCTTGCTCTCTTGAGCTGCGCATCTGTCTTCATGCTATGCCTCGCTAGAGTATGGATTTTATTCTTCGGCCCACAGGTTTCCACACTTTTGCAGCTCACCAAAATGAAAGCAATGACTCGCAGCTGGAACGGCTTCGTGAGATGCTAGTCCGGGACAAAATGGAGGAATGCCCACGGCCTTCGCACCGGACAGCCAGGTGGCTTGGATGCCTCTCCTTGGAGGCGACCACGGATGCGGAGGGGTTTAGAGTTCTCCGACTTTGGCCACCTTGACTCTCACCGAGTTGTCCGAGCAGCTCGCAGGTGGCGACCACCTCGCCCTGCTGGCCAAAATCCACAGCAAGGATCGGGGCACCATCACAAGCACCGAATTGGAGCCAGACGTTTCCCTCCTGGCACAAGCTCATGTTCCTTGTAGAGTTTCGATGGTGCTCACCCTGCCTCTGACAGGATCTGAACGACCACGGAATCTGTCACGACATAGTGCTCTCCTGTTTCCAGGACGCTGTTGCGAATCTAAGTCAAGTGCTCTCGCTTGGCTCCTTCCAGCGTGCAGCCGAAAGAAGTCACTGTGCGCCACCTGGGGACGATGGGCACAAGGTCAGTAAGGAGGGTCCTCTAAGGCTCTAAGGCTTTAAAGGTTCACCTGCTCTACTCAGATCCGTGCGGAGTGTCCAGCGCGAAGGGCTGCATCGTGCCGCTCAGGGAGACTTTCCGGAATAGCTCCGTGGCAGCCATGATGGACCATACCCAAACCTGGGAAGACGTTGCCACGCTAACTGAGGAAGGGCAAGCAGTAGGAAAGATTCCTTGTCCTACTCTCCGCAAAGGCTGGCAAATCGGTGGACCCTTCTGGAACCTTGCAAAAAGTGGTTGACTTGGCCTGCAGCTAAGAGGCCATGATCCAAAACAGTGACACCAAGCCCTGAGTGCGGAATTCATCTCATGTCCATGTACACACGAACGCGGTGGACGATCCGATCTGTGGCCGAATGGACTGCATCAGCTGAAGAGCCATTGCAACTTTGAAGAGATAGTCCGCAGAAGGCACGAAAGTTCGCATCCGCTCCTGCACCACACAATAGTCGAGCTCTAGACATTCCTCCCTGCCCCATGTGCAACATCTTGTTAAACTAAGACGAATAGTCAGGCACTGTCCGAGATGTTCTCGAACTGAAAGAGGAAGCTGTTCACGCCAGTGACGGGTTCCCCTGGAGTCACAACTGGCATAGTTGTGCAGGAAAGCAACTACCCAGCACATAGTGTTCTCCACTTTGAAACTCAGTATGCTGTACAGCGCAAGTTGAGGTTCTTGGGGCTTTACTTCTTGTCGAAGGCTTCGTGCACACTTCGCGGAGATTCACAGCTTTAGCGAGGACGTCTGCAATGCAATCGACACAAAGCCACACGGAAGTGACAATGTCAGACTCCAACGTGCCTCCGTAGGATGCAAGTCTGAGCATGTCATGCACCTGCACAAGGTCGATGACGGGACAGACAAGGATGATGTGAGCACTTCCACTCCACTCGAACTCGAACATGCTGCTGCTGCCGGTACAGATTGCAGGTACTCCTTGGGCCCCTGCTGCTACTTGTACTCCTGATCCCCTAACTATAACAGTTTTCGCTCATTTATTGCTTCCTATGGCCGCTGTGGATGTCACGTGGGCCTGGGCAATTGCTATCCGGGTTCCCGACTTCCTAAGAACTCTAGAGTCTGCTAGACCGCTTCACCCGCGCAGGTCTCAGCTCCCGGCGGTCCAGTGCACGGCTTGTGCGTGCAGGGTCTCCGCAGCCAGGTCTGCAGCTTGGAGTAGCTCCGGCAGCATAAATGCTTCAGTCGCCTGGACAAGCCAATTATGCTTGATTATGCTGTTGCTACAGTACATTCAACGACCTATAGAGACATCTGCTTATGTCAAAACCCATACTGATCTCGTCTGCAACTGAGACTCATCCTTGCAGTTCTCCCTTAGCATCGATGAAAACCCGCAGCGCAAGGATGGAGAGCAAACCGAACTGCCAAGACTCGGGAAGTCAATGCTGTGAATATCCACCCAGTGGGGCACAGCACCCTGCACTCATTCAGCTCAAAAAGGCTGCGCACACATCAGAGACCCTTTCAGTTGAAGCGTTCCTCGTTGTCCAGCCCCGTCATTGGCAGGTAGATCCAAAAGCCCTTGACCATCAAAGATGTGCGCAACACACCAGCAGCACCTCGAATTCGGTCGGATTGTCGGAGTTCCACAAGCGACATTGCACTCTCTCTGAGGCCCAGGCGCGCAGCCTCTCTCAGCCAGTCTCTGGCCTACGAAACATTTTGATCTGATTGATCTGATCATCGCAGTACTGAGATGTAAATGGCCTGGAACACAGCCGCACGGGAAGAGGAGGACTGAGGCAAATCGCCGATGCAACCTGCAGCAAGTCTTCGCAAGCAGGGCATCTCTACACAAACAACCTCCCATTTCTTGCAAGGCATGAGGCTTAAGACATCGATCAGCGGCTGCGCCAAGGCCATGGCATGCTGCGAATCCTGGGAGCGATTGGGATTGAGCTGCACAGATGTTCGCTGGGTGGGAGGACAAGGCAGGTCCTTGAAATTGACAGATGACTCCGTGGAAGTATCCTCGTCTTCATGCACCTCGAGCCAGCAGTGTTTGTGGAATCTGTGTCAGAACAGAAAGGAGCCTTCCGCGCGATGTCCACGGGGATTTCGATGGGACCCCGTTGCTTGTGGACAACGTTCAGGTAGCGGGTGCTCGTGAAAAAGTGAGGCCACTCCTCAACGCAGCAAGCAAGGTGGTGTGTGCGCCGCGCGCTCTGGGCGTCTCTCGGCAAGTCACCCCACCACACGTGAAGGCTCGGATGCCCAAGAAGCAAATCCAGGAGGCCTCTCATGGGTCTTGGAACGTATGGCAAAACGAAAGGTTGTGCAAGGGCCTGGATGGTCACCAACACCGGGTAGCCGAAATGCTGCATCACGCTGGCATGTAGTGTCGGCTTGTTCGAGGCCACCCTGAGCCAAAGGTGCCCGGCTCCACAACTCCAGCGGGCGGGCTCAGCGGGCGCTCAGGCCGAGGCCACAGCGTCGGACCAACCAGAATTAGCAGTGCAGCAACGAAAAGGTCCAGCTTGCTACCTCGTCTCACCACCGTCACAACCCTATCATGACGCCATCGCCCATGTGAGCATGGGGCCTGAAATCTCGATGGTGAGGTTCCACCAAGCCAATGTCGACATAAACAAAAAGCTGCACCAAGCCTCGCTCCGGCAATGCGGGAGGTACGCCATGGTGGCTCTCCTCTCCCAGCCTCCGTGGGCATGCTGCTGCTTCCGTCAACGTCAAACTTGTTGTAGTACCTCCAAAGCTCACAGGCCCAAAGGGCAAAAGTATTCTTTTGCTCCTGGTCCCCCAATCATCCTGCAGCCGAGGGGCAAGGAGAAATATGCCAAGCCACTGAACAGACAGGAAGATCCGAGGACCTGACCCACTGGGGGTTAGCCACGATTGGGAAAACAGAATACGTTAAAACAGCCAGGCGTCTGTAGTAACCCGGCTGTACAGGTCCTTGGTTGCAATAAGAATCACTTGAAGCAACCCCGCGCCACCGGATAATTTGAAGACAGGACATGCTTCCCCATCACTGCAGCATCAGTGCAGCATCTGCAGCACGTGCAGCCATTTTGTTCGATGCGACGGGCCACCACATATCCTGAAGGACGTGCGGCCAAGATGCAAAAGGCTGCCAGGCAGATGCCACTAAGCAAAGTAGCTTCAGATGCCTTGGCAGGAGGCAGTTTGAAGCCCTGTTTGACGTACGACATAGGGAGAGGCAGATTGGAGCCGTTCACTCCAAGTTGCGGCTCCATCTCGGAGAAAGCTCCGGCAGCGTGAGGAGGCAGGCAGTGCAGCAGCTCCTGCAGGCAAGCAGCGGCGAGCTGCGGCTAGCAGAGCGAAAAGCCGCAAATTCGATTCAGAAGCTGCACTCCACCGCCCCTTCAGCATCCTGCATCGACACCTCCAAATTCATGGGTCTCGTCGTCTGCAGCAACGGCGTGCCTTTGGCGAATTTACACGGACTTACACAGCACAAGTGGGAAACCAGGGCCTTTGGAATCTGTCGGAGATGGAGCCGCCGCCGGGCTGGCTGCACGGGTGTCGTTTGATAGCCTGCAGGCCGGGGGCGCCAGGGGCCATAAGCCTTCTCAAGGTTTGGCAAGCGTTTCTTAGTGGGAAGAGCAGCGCCTGCGGACGGCGATCATGTTCTACTTCTCTGCTACTGCCCGGCTGTGCCTGGAGTCCTCCCGGTTCACCTCTTCGGCCAACCTCGGTGCTTCCAGAGTGTGCACACGGCCAGATCGCTTGTGCAATGCGAGCGGCTGCGGCAACTGACGGCCGACGTCCTTCATTTGATCCCGCAGAGTGTCCTGGATCGTCGCAGGACGAATCTTCACGGTACCACAATTTGCCCGCTTCACTCGTTGCCTTGTTGAGCGCCGCAGGACGAACGAACGGCAGTCGGAGCGCCTTTGAGACCGATGCATTCGCATCCAAAAGCTGTAACAAAGAAAGCTCTTCACAACAAACAGAATTGCATCGCTTCACTAAGCTACAAAACTGTGCACGGACGGACGAGACTTCCGGAGGCCTCGCGAAAGTTCAGCTCGAAATCTTTTCCTTCGGTGGATGCCTGGCAATGCTCTGCAAAGAAGCACTGGCTGCCAAACAATCATTGATCCCCACATGTTAGCCACGCCGCACCAAAAGCCCAAACGTGTTCGCGCTAGCAAACATATATTCGCCTCCGAAGCGGGCCAGAGTTTTCACAGAGAATTCCGTTTCTCCCACCTCATTAGCCCCCCCCCCCACCCCCCGTCCCTAAAGATTGGAATCGCAGCTGCTTCAGCTACAACCGGGCTAGGCGGACGACGCGAAGCATCTATATTGAAACTTTATTTGAGAATCATTGAGTGTCTCAATAGCGTTTTATCAGTTCATGTAAGTCAGACTGAAGCAATGACTGAAATGCGCATAGCATGAATATAAGTAATATATATGCACACTCTCCACTGTCCTTAACCACCTCGCTTCAACTGCCGGCCCTATCTCGTTCCTCATGTAGCATCAGAAAACCTCATAAAACGCCAAATCACATTGACATGTCTTAGCCACAGCTCACGAAGTTCGCCGCTCTCGAACGTGGAGTCACAGCGATCGAAATCACATCAGGATTCGCCGAACGGCAACGCTCGCAAATCATCATCAGAAAAACGACCAGCCCGATCACAGAGCTGGGAAGATATATCCATCTGCACAGAAGCCCCACGCGAGGGCATGTCTTTTTTCGTACAGAAGCTTTCATCGAGTCGATGATTCAGCGGGTGCTGCGCACGCAGACCCTGTCCCTGCAGTCCCGCACTGTGAGGCAAGTGGCCCGGCCACCAGTTGTGTCCAAGTTCCTTTGCAGCCTTGGCCCTGTGACAACAGGTCTAAGTGAGCACACACACACACACGCTCGTGCAGAGTTATAAGACAACTACATCTTCAGGTTCGGGGAATTCTCTTTCAACAACCGAAAAATGCTGGGCAGCAACAACGGAGCACAATATCGCGTTGCTAAGATCTCGTCAACGCTGCTTCTTGAAGGCACATTCCTGTGCTCTTGCCTGCCTGACACCTCACGTGCCTGCTCACATAAGCCCCACTCCGGCACTTGTCCGTCTGACATCAAAGTGGCCTTGCTGCTTTGATGTCATGTGTATCATGTTGCTGTCCTGTCCTGTCACTGTCGTCGTGCAGTCTTGATCCGAAGTGTTCCCACACGTACGGATGTTTTGTTCTTAGGCTTGGCTTACCCTCCTTAACGACACATAACGACACCTTTTCAAAGTCTCTTAGCCCTTGCCAACCTTGGCAATCTCGTTCTCAGATGGCATGGGAATGCGCACGACCTGCACCAGAAGCCTGGGCACGGAACTCCGCAGAACAGCGAAGCGACGTTTGGTGGTTTCTGCACGAGTTCACCACCGAGAGGCTTGGTAGTGATAGCTTGAGCCAGCTGCAGCGCGTGCATAGCGAACCATATCCTGGGCACCACACCGGCCGCACGGCTTACTTGACAGCAGGTTTGTGATTCTCTGATTGGATAGAAATGGCAGTGGGTGGCAGTGGGGCAATGGAGAGCACTCCACACAGAATGCAAACCCCATGTCTGCATCCACGCATCGAAGTCATCAGGAAAAAAAAGGACGTCAGGAGAGTCATTCCCCTCAGTGAAGGACATTGAAGAACAAAGCTTGCCACACGATGTATTCATCACAAAACTCGTCAGATTGCGCCCTTCGTAACTTCCAAGGTGCAGAAGTACAGCGAGCTGATCCTCCTGATAGGTCCGTTCTTGGAATCCGCTGTCGGTGCGGTCGAAATTGAAGTACAGCGCTACCTGGATATGGCTCGTGGTCGAGCTGATGCCAAGCGCACAAAGCAAGAGATCTCCGGCCCTTTGCCCGCGAGAAATAGTACAGAGCAATCTTAATCCCCCAGCAAAATGCGACAGGACCAGTAAGTTCCCCAACGAGCTGTCACGTGCAGCCCAAGCTCGGGGTAACAGCGAGCTGCACGGCACTTATACACGTGCGATTGACGACAGACAGCACATGCACACATCCCCTCAGCCAAAAAAGTCCAACAATTCCAATGTTGGCCAGGTGGCAATAAAACCAACCTGCCATCGATCCAAGAGCCAGTGACAGACAAGCTCAAACCCAATGTGACTTCTCCAATGCCCCAAGTTCGCATAGCCTTGAGAGTGTTGACAACCAGCAGGTTCGCCACCTGCCACAGCAGCAAATCAGGTGTTGTGCCAACTTGCTCACAAAAACCTGGACCTTGTCAGTCGTCAAAGCTGCAAGGTCACGGATGTCTTCTCGGAAGAGGGCAAAACCTTGAAATTCCATTGCATACGATGCGCTGCGCAGCAGCAACGGCTCAGCGGCAGCGTTCTTCAGAAGAGGAAGTGAGTAGCACTGTAGGAGCCCAAAGACCGTATTGTCACTGTCTCTCAAACAAGAGCCGGGATCTGATGTTCCTGGACCAGAAGAACTACCCGTCAATCGAAAGCTACGAATTTCGCCAGGCTGCGTGCCAGATTCACGTTCTGCACTTGGAACTCACGGGCTTGTCGTAAAGGGACATCGAACATGTAGTTCCTGATCAAGCAATCAAACCGCTACTCGCACAGCACTTGGCCTGCTCCATTGTCATGTCTACTGATGTCTACTGTGATGCGTGGGGGGGGGCAGAAATCCTGACAAAACCTCCCTGCCCACGAGTTTGTCCAAGTCGCTCTCGGTTGTATTGCCATATTGTCTGGCCCACACCACCGAGCGCTGCAGCACTCAGCAGCCCGGAGATGGGCATGGCTGGAAAGATGCTGCTAGCTGTCACCACAAATACTAACGAGTTTGCAGCGCTGGCCGGGGTTTGAGTCTGCAGGGAGACCGTCATTTTGCAGGCGCAAGCCGCGGGATGCAGAGTGGCAAAAGCAGTTGATGCTCTGTGGTTTGTGCTGATGATGCGAGTCAACAACAGCTTTCTGGATCAATCTCCGACACCTTTTCCGGTATCCGATATCGATAGTCCACTGTTGTTTGAGAGTCTTAATGGCTGCCACGTGATACCACCTGGACGCAGTCATTTGTCGCTTCTCGTAGAACTTTTCAGGCCATATCTACCCTGTAACAAGGGTGGACACGCTGGTGGCCAAGACCCACACCGAGCTGCTTCAGGGCACCGTAACCCGAGTGTGGTTTGGTCTCCTGTGCAAGGCGGCGGCAACTTGCTCACCCTACATTCACATGCACCCGGCTGTCCTGGTATGCGCGGTAGCAATGGTTCCAGAAGCCCCAGGCCAATCGCGGATCGCCGGAGGTCTCACCAAAGCTGCGAATTACTGCTTGCAACCATCATTGTGGGGATGGGAAAGGGCAGTAGTGGTGATCGAAATGCAACAACCTCACACTGGGTTAAGCTGCACGGTGAAACGTATATGCTCAAATTTGGCGTACATTGAGAGCAACGCTGCATGAGTGGCTCATCGGATTGGATGAAGCAAAAAGGGAGGTTCGAAGGCGATCGGATGCCTGAAGCCATGTTTGGAAATATTTGGACTGCATCTGCAACTCGGCAGGTGAATCTTTGACTGCATTAATGCGCAGATCCGAAAACAAAACAAAAAAAACTACTGCGACTTAAGACATCTAGTCCTGAATTGTTGAAAATGGCTCTGAAGGTGCTCTCATGTGCTCTTGTTCAATACGTTGGTGCCTGCGAGACGCTTGTAGCATGTGAGGCAGTGCAGGATACTGCCGGACTGCAAGTGTCTCGAAGCTGTGACCTCGTCGAACCATCGAGGCTCGCAGATCTCCTGGCGGCTGCTGGGACTTCGCTGTGCACTGTATGGCCACTCATGTCTGTGTCGCAGTCCTCGTATGCCAAACCAACTGCCTCCAGGCCATCCCAGACACCTTAGGAAGGCACTTCATCGTCGCTCTGGCGTGGCAATACGGCATGCTGGCTGCTGGCGGGCCTTTCTTTCCGCCACGGAAAGTACCTAGTCCGGAGTCCACGCCCATCCCAGCCTCGAAACGTTCGCACTTGAGCTGTTGCTGCTTGTGTGCTGCTTGCTCATTCTCGCACAGACTCACCCTCAGTGCCATGCGCCGCTGCCAATTAGCAGCGCATCTGCATTGGCGATCCACTCCGCCGCCTGCAGTGCAGCGATAAAGACTGCGTCTGGACGAGTCGGGCTTTCTTCGGCCCGTTTGGCGAGTCTAGCTGGATTCCATGTCGAAAGTCTATGACACATGACGACAGGACACGGCAGGCAAAGAAAATCAACCCCTAAATCAAGATCTCATCTGTGTGTCGCTCATGACTCAATGACAAGTGCGACAACTTCGCACGATCTCGCGGATGCCTAGACAAAGCTCAGAAACGCTACTTCTCGTCTCGCAACTGTGCAAGCCTGGGCCAAGGAGTGAACAATCTCATCCTTGCTCATGGATGCGTTTGCCTGCTAATGAGACGCGAGCAGCCACGAACTCTTGCTTCTGCAATTGTCACGACCCATACCGCATGAACTGTGGATCCGACAGGTTCTATTTCAACAAGGCAGGCATCTTCAGTTCTGCAGTCGCAACCTCCCACTGAGTCTATTTGCGGGCCAAAGGGCCAGAAGACGCTCATCGGGTATGGAGCAGTTCTTGGGCCGCAGAACGCCGCCGCTCATGACGAACCTGCCCACGTTCCACGTTGAGACCCCCAACGAGCCTTCTCATGTTTTCTGGGAAGTTGCACGCTGACTACTTAGGTCCGAACACTTCCAGCTGCTGGCGAGTCCAATACTTCACCTCCAATGGAAGCTGGAGGCCTTGCCGAAGAACGAGAGAGAGATATTCTCCGACCATGCTAGGCTCAGCCGCTAGGCTGCTGTCTCTGAAAAGATGTCATGTTCCTGTGCAGTGACAGACTCCAGGCTCAGCTCAAAACACATCAGACCGACGGCATGTTCTCCCGCACTTCGTGTCGGCTCGTTTCATAGACTATTTTGTACAGAGCAAGCAATCTGCAACAGAGTCATCCCAATGTTGACCGCGGCTTTGCATTGAAGCTGCAGGATTCACCACCGGATCGCCCGGGGCACTTTCGGCTATCCGAGGTCGACTCCCTGATCGTGCTCGAGCCGCCGAAGCTGGCTTCCCATCACGGAACGACAGAGGCAGAGGAACATCCGGACTGCGTGTTGGTGGCAACTTTGGACGCCCAACATGCGCACGCATTGACTCCAGCTCACGACTTTGAGCTGCTGCTTGCTGCTTCAAGGTCTGAAGCTCTCTGCGCAGACCGCGCTGACCTTCCACCAGTTCGAGCACATGTCGCTCAAGCTCCTGCAGGTCCCGGCGGTCCCGATTTCCACCTTCCCTTCGGGTAGGGCTCTTCAGAAACTGAAACTTGCTCTCCAAAGCTGGGAGTACCGGAGCGAACCGAGGAGTCGGTTGGGTCAGCGGAAGTGGAAGGGGATCAGGTAGTCGCGAAGGACAAGCACAGGCGCCCAGCTTCCCGTGCTCTGTAGCCGCGGCAAGGCTAAGAGCGCTAGGAGCCAGCTCGAGGGGCTTCGGCGGTTTGAAGAACTGGAACGAGGGGTACTGCAGAGAAGGGCAGGGGCTCACGCTGCGTGGGGTCGGCCTTTGCGCTGGCAGGGAGGCCGAACGCTTCGCACTTGCAGTTACAGGCTCAAGGATCATCGATCAGAGGCACAGCTAGCTCTGGCCAGGGCCAGCATATCACCCTTTCCTGGCCCTCCACTAGCGCACTGCAGCTTGGGCTTGGGCTCTCGAGCAGAAACACGAGCAATGCAGACCCCAGGATTGCAGAAAGAACAAGTGAACAAGTGCTCTGCAATTGAGCAAAGGCGAAGTGGACACAGCTGGCATCTGTTGGCATGTCCGGTTACAACTCTTTTTGCACGGGAGGATCAGCGCACAGTTGATATTCAGAGTCTCTACAGCCTGGCAGCTGACATGTATCCCGTGCTGTGCTCTTTCAGCGAAGCTCTATGGCAAGCGGCATCAGGGAACCTGCTCGGGTTCCCCACTTGCCTTCTTCTACAAGACACCGTTCAGGTTGAAAACTAATTCTTCACCCCTCCTGCGAGTCATCGCCAATGCCCGTCCCATGAGTCCAAAGCCGCACATGGAAAAATGACAATCCTTACATGTAGTGTATCATTGCATCACTCACAGTGGAACCAGGGCTTTGCGAGAGTGACCTGAGAAAGGGAACTGAGCGTGGCTGGCGCAGGCCAGCAAAACCGGCACACAATAGCGTCGTCCATACCTCTTTTGCTATGACCCTTTCACCCCAAGCGAGCAAGCCACCTCCTGCTGTAGTCCTGCGTTCCAAATCGCCGGAGAGGCTTGCCCACAACCATAACTGACCGGCCAGGATCGGATGTGAGATGCTCTAAGCTGCGACGGTGCTCCGCACTTGGATGGGTCGCGCGGAATCTGCACCCGCCGTACGGTCCTTGTAGGAAGCTCGCCAACAACAAAGTCTGGAATCACCTTTTACCAGAGAAGGTTCTGCGCATGGATTTTAGGCAACAAATCGACTTTGCATGGCTAGTCTATCTAGCGTGACAATTGGTTGTCAAATCGTGGGTCACCAGCAATGCAGGTGCGGATGGACAGATTACCGTCATTGGGTGCTGAGCACCGTGGAAGATGTGGCGGCCGCACAGCAAAACTTTTAGTAGCTACTTCAGCTCGCACATCCACAAACACAATTCTTAGTTGAGCAACGTCTTGTCTGACAGCCGCCTGCAGATGCGTGTGTGCGTCATTTGCGCACCGCAGGAGTCATAAGCCACGCTGTGGGTAAAATGTATTATACGATAAGTTTCAAGAAGGCTAAGGCGGCTAAGGACCCCTTTGGCCGACCATGGTGGCCATGGGAGAGACGATGGAGCCCGTACATGGCTTCCCGAAGTACCCCCTTGGCAACATCATTTCAATAAGGAATACGTCGTACGTGCCTTCGATGACAGACATTGCATGTCATGTGCCCTGCAATCCTAATGCTACACTTCATGCTCCTCTGTGTGTACTCTCTCCAATTCAGCTTGTCTGGCAGCTTGACCGTGATTCTCTGTAGATACGCCACAAGGGAACATCTCCGCGTGTCCTACTGCTACACCTGCACGGACGGCAACGGCTTCTAGCCTTCAGAGAAAAGGGCAACCAGTAGGGGAAAGACGGTGAGAAAAGCTGCCATTGTTGATATGCTCAACCTGGTTGCCGACTTCATCGGGATTGCTGCGAAAGCGCAAACTGCTCTCTCGCATCGTTCTGCCGTTCCTCCTGTGTGGAAGATGTGCTCCCCAAGTAGCACCAAAAGCCGTGAAAGGGATGTGGATGACTCTCAGGGAGGCACGACCGGCCAGCACTCACCGCACAAAGACCAAAACTACGACCCACACACGAATCTTGGGAAGCACCGGTACGCGATCAGAAGGAACTGCGCTTGAACAATGATTAAAAGAATCAGCAGCGTCGTCTGAGCAAAGGGCAGTCAGTGCATTTCCAATGGCACTGCAGCTTCAAACGCAGCAAAATTTGCCACTGGAACCGCCACTCAGAAGGA